TGACCCACACCAGTCCACTAACACCCAGGATGTGACCCACACCAGTCCACTAACACCCAGGATGTGACCCACACCAGTCCACTAACACCCAGGATGTGACCCACACCAGTCCACTAACACCCAGGATGTGACCCACACCAGTCCACTAACACCCAGGATGTGACCCACACCAGTCCACTAACACCCAGGATGTGACCCACACCAGTCCACTAACACCCAGGATGCGACCCACACCAGTCCACTAACACTCAGGTACCTATTATACTGATACGTGAACAGGGACAGCAGGTATTTTAAGGTAATATATCCTAATATGTTTCCAGCCGTACCGGGGATCGACCCCCGGACCACAAGTGTGTGCGCTGAGTGCGCTACCAACCAAGTTACCGGGTCTTCTCTAGACTATGCTTCCACTCTCTTTTCACTAGTAATTGCAGATCTCAGAAATGATTTATCGTGGGCGTGTTTCCTTACACCTACTGTCCGCTTTCACCTAACAAGCAAGTAGGTACCTGGGTGTTAGTTACCCTACACTTGCTGTCCCGTTCATCTGTCAAGCAAGTAGGTACCTGGGTGTTAGTTACCCTACACTTGCTGCCCCGTTCATCTGTCAAGCAAGTAGGTACCTGGGTGTTAGTTACCCTACACTTACTGTCCCGTTCATCTGTCAAGCAAGTAGGTACCTGGGTGTTAGTTACCCTACACTTACTGTCCCGTTCATCTGTCAAGCAAGTAGGTACCTGGGTGTTAGTTACCCTACACTTACTGTCCCGTTCATCTGTCAAGCAAGTAGGTACCTGGGTGTTAGTTACCCTACACTTACTGTCCCGTTCATCTGTCAAGCAAGTAGGTACCTGGGTGTTAGTTACCCTACACTTACTGTCCCGTTCATCTGTCAAGCAAGTAGGTACCTGGGTGTTAGTTGACTGGTGTGGGTGGCATCCTGGAGGACAAGACTGAAATAAGACACTCCTCGATGACGCACTGACTTTCTTGAGTTATTCTAGGTGGCTAACCCCCCTGGGTTAAAAATCCGAACAAAAATCTTGTCTTATCTCTTGTCTAACCAGCTGGAAATCAGTCTTGCAGAAATCAAAGCTGAACTTTGCATAGTTGCAAAAAAATTCGCATAAATCTTCTTGTCGTACATACAACGTTATATCTTATAAATAACTCGCACATGAGAGAAACGTACGTGGCGATGTTTTGCTCCCACTTGGACCATTAACTAGTCAATAGTCCAAGTGGGAGCGAAACATCGTCATAAGTTCTATGTACGGATTATTTGCACCTTGTTCCAGTTATGGTATTGTTTAAGATAAGATAAGATATAAGATAAGATAAGATTTCGTTCGGATTTTTAACCCCGGAGGGTTAGCCACCCAGGATAACCCAAGAAAGTCAGTGCGTCATCGAGGACTGTCTAACTTATTTCCATTGGGGTCCTTATTCTTGTCCCCCAGGATGCGACCCACACCAGTCGACTAACACCCAGGTACCTATTTGCTGCTAGGTGAACAGGACAACAGGTGTAAGGAAACGTGTCGAAATGTTTCCACCCGCCGGGAATCGAACCCGGGCCCTCCGTGTGTGAAGCGGGAGCTTTAGCCACCAGGCCACCGGGCCACCGGGGGCCACCGGGCCACCCCAGTTCTCACATTACAGTCAAAGAAGTTAATGAATAAGACATCAACATTTCGTCAGGAAATGTTGAAAACGTCACCCATACGTCAACATTTACAACACCTGACGACAGTACATAAGCGCTAGTGATGTATCGGATATCAGCATCCGTATCCGCATCCGCGGAACATCTGCACGATTTCTTACATCTGCATCCGCATTTTACTGTAAACAGATATCCGCATATGCATCCGCACCCGAATCCGCAGAACATCCACACAAATTCTTACATCCGCATCAACATCCACAGAACATCCACACAATTTCTTACATCCGCATCAACATCCACAGAACATCCACACAACTTCTTACATCTGGATCTGCATCCGCATCTGTAAAATAAGACATCCTCACATACATCCGCTTCTGTGGATATCTAAATTTTCACATCCTGTGCTCTCTCATGTCCCTGCCAATCAATCAGTACTCTGCCGCTCAACAACTCATAAACCACTATCTGCCTAGCAACTGGGTTAAGCCCTGGTGCTATTCCTTCCACTGATGAATCTTCCTCTCACCAGCCTAGTCTTCCACTATACCCACTTTCCCACTCACCCCACAAGGGTCATACTTACTCTCTTTAGTTAACCTGTGCTCCAGAATCTTCACGACTACGGTGATCTTCACGTCAACTCCAAGACTGAGGGACTGATTACCTCATCTTTTGTATATGGTTCTACAGTCTTCACATTATGTCCTTGTATTTGTATTGATAAAGCCACTGGAGGGCGAAACGTCTACAGTAAAGATACCCAGATTTTGCACATGTGCCTAATTTTCAATACCTGTCGTCTACACAATAACACTCATGACCACCTCATTAACTGGAACAAATCAACACTTATCTTTAAGGAAGAAAACTGAAGTAGACTCCATTTTCTTTACGTGTCCAGCAATGTGTCTTAGCAATACATTAGCCTAGAAAGTGTCTATATCTGCAAAAGTTTAGATATGTTGTTTTTACGTCACCAAAACGCAGATGTTAGGTGATGTCAATGAAAGGCAGTACAATGCAATAGTTTGTTGACATTATTTCTCCCACACAGTGGCCTTTATTAAGTCACAAACAGATCTGTTTGCAGCGGGATAAAGACCACTGTGTGGGGCGAAACGTTGTCAGTAAAAGATCGCATTATACTGCCGTTGTCTGTATCCACCTTTCGCATTTTTATACTATAATTTTTCCTCTAGAAACGTTGTAAAACACCAGTTTACAATTAAATTCAATTTAATTCAAGTTTATTCTCTATAAGGGTTACAATGTGGGGTTTACAGGTTTTGGGTATTGTGTGGTTTACATGTTATAAAATACTAATTACAGAGGGGGCCACTAGGACACCTAGCATGGCTAGGCATTACAGAGGGGGCCACTAGGACACCTAGCATGGCTAGGCATTACAGAGGGGGCCACTAGGACACCTAGCATGGCTAGGCATTTCCAGCAGACTTAGATTAATTCTTAACATTAAATCCTTACAGATTATGGTATTAAGGCTGAGTGACTACATTATAATTTGTGAGTTTAGCAATGTGAATGTTTTTGTTTTAGCACAATACAAAGTGTCTATATTGGAGTATCATAGGCAAACTTATGACTAGTTAGGATTTATTATTTTAAGATTAAGATTAGTATTTCTGGGTTTATAGTCAGTGGGTGAGTGAAAGTGTGAACCACCAGGTGGTTATCATGTAGTTAGTTAACGGGGTGTATCAGGGAGATAAGATGTTTTCTAACTGTAGTTTTGAAGGTGATGAATGTGTCTGCAGTTCTAGAGTTTTCAGGTAGGGTGTTCCAGATTTTAGGTCCTTTGACATATATTGAATTTTTGTAAAGGTTTAGTCGAACACGGGGAATGTCATAGAGATGTTTGTGTCTGGTGTTATGCCTGTGGATCCTGTCACAACTATCAAGAAAGCGTTTTAGGTCAAGGTTAATATTGGAATTTAAGGTCCTGTAGATGTAGATTGCACAGTAGTAAGTGTGGATGTTCTGAACAGGGAGTAAGTTTAGATCTATGAAGAGTGGGGGGGGGGGGTTGCCAGGGATGGGATTTAGTGATTATTCTTACTGCAGCTTTTTGTTGGGTTATTATTGGCTTTATGTGTTGCGATTTATCCCCGCAAATAGCATAGGTGAAGTAGGGGATAAAGGTGGTTTTGTGTGAGAGGGCGTTTTTTCGGTACATAGTATCTTTTCTTGGAGTTGGTCCCCACCTTTTGGTACTTTTTTTATGTTGGATTTGGGGGCTGAAAAATTTAGGGGTTGTCGAGGTAAGGGCCAAGGAATTTTCCCTCATTAGTCTGGCAATTAGGTGTTTTCGATCTTAATGTTAAGTTCGCACTCTCTCTGTACCAAACATAAACAGTAGGTTTTGCAGTGTTAAGTGTAGTTTTTTGGCTGTCATCCCAAGTCGATTTTGGCAGTCCCCCGTTAAAAAATGGGGTTTGGGGTGGCAAATTAGGGTGAGAGATGAATAAGTCGTGTCGTAGCAAAAAAGAATGGATTTAGGTGTTGGGGGTATGTTTGGAAAATCTTGATGAAAGGGGGAAGAGCAAGGGTTCAAAGGGCCTTCCCCGGGAACTTTCCCGTATCAAGTGGCCTATTTAGGGCTGTGTCTTTAAAGGTGACTTTGACACCTATTGTAAGGTGGATTTAAAATATGCAAGCGCATGGCCTCTTATACCATAGTGGTCAAGTTTGTGGAGTAGGATGTCGTGGTCTACTGTGTCAAAAGCTTTTCTTAGGTCAATAAAAATTCCTAGTGGATATTCCTTATTTTCCAATGCTGTGTAAAGCAGGTCTAGCATTTTTATAATTGCATCATTAGTGCTTTTATTTTTCCTGAATCCAAATTGGCAGGGGTTGAGTATGTTTTGTGACGTTATAAATGAATATAGTCTCCTGTGCACGAGTTTCTCGAAGATTTTGGATAGCAATGGTAAGTTTGATATTGGCCTATAGTTGTTTACGTCTGTAGGGTCACCACCTTTATGTATTGGTAATAAGTCAGTTTATCTGACTTTTCTGGGAGTTAACCTGGGTAATTTAACACACATGTTACTTTTTAAATAAGATCACAGTAAACAGGTGATATCACAATATGCAAAACAACCACTGTGAAAAAAAATAGTGAAAGTCCAAGCGCTTTCGTGATTTCTCACATTATCAAGAACCTATGTCAGAAATCAAGTGCTTGGAACTCCACTATCTTTTCACAGTGATTGTTTTGCATATGTTACTATGTATGATAATTGTATCTATTGGAAATGTGCCTAAATAAGCATACCGAGATTTCTTCCAAAGTTTTATCTTGCAGGATTTGTCATCTGCTAATGTTGATGGTGGTGATCGTGCCAGCGCTTCCTCAACTGGCCATTCCACGCGATGCTGGTGGCCATGGTGGCGGCCATGGTGGTGGCCATGGTGGAGGCTATGGTGGTGGCCATGGTGGCGGCCATGGTGGAGGCTATGGTGGTGGTGGAGGATATCATCCTTCTCCATGCCATCCTCAGACCATTACGAAGTATAACACCGTATACAAGGACCGTAAAGCAGATGTGGTGAATAATGTAAGTCGAGGTGACTCAGGAAATCGTAGTGACACGATTGCAAACCATACCACGGGTGGCTCTGAGGGGACTTGAGCTAGAGTTCGTCACGGCCATGCTAGCTGGAGATTCGTCTGTAAAAACTTGCATTTGTAACCTTCCTATGGTGTAAAAATATACCTAGTTGGATGAATCTTATTGTAGCCAGCTGGTCCAGTGGCTAAAGCGTCGGTCTGGAGTTTTATGACTCTCTGACCGTGGGTTCTATCCCCACCCATGTTATGGTTTAATGTAAGTTAAGATTACAGATTTCATTGCGATCTGTTTAATGCAATACCATTTATATGTTGAAGAAAGGGACACTTGTGCAACGTTTCGGAATCTTTGTTGTGGAAACGTTTCGCCAGCCAGTGGCTTCTTCAGTCAGAAACAGAGAACGGTGGAAGACGAGAAGGAGGCTGCGGTAATCAGTCCCTCAGTCGATGTATTCATTCCAAGACTGATGGACTGGCACATGGACTCCAGGTTGAGGGACTGATTACCTCAAACTTCATATTCACCGTTCTTCCCTGTATTGGACTGATGAAGCCACTGTGTGGCGAAACGTTTCCTCAATAAAGATACCTAAATGTTGTACAAGTATATGTCAACTTACGTGTTTTTTTCTAAGTATTTACGTCACCACTTATATGTATGTACTTATATGTAGTTTCAGAAATAACTAAAAAAGTCACAATATCGTGACTGGAACGATACACTAATAACCCGCACATAAAAGAGAGGAGCTTACGACGACGTTTCGGTCCGACTTGGACCATTTACAAAGTCACCCTTTGTAAATGGTGCAAGTCGGACCGAAACGTCGTCGTAAGCTTCTCTCTTTTATGTGCGGGTTATTTGTGTATGTAGTTTCAGTGGTGGAGTCTCAGCTCCTGGCCCCGCCTCTTCACTGGTCGCTACTAGGTCCACTCTCTCCCTCCTCCAAGAGCTTTAGCATACATCTTAAAGCTATGTATGGATCCTGCCTCCACTATGTCACTTGCCAAACTATTCCACTTCCTGACAACTCTATGACTGAAGAAATACTTCCTAACATCCCTGTAACTCATCTGAATCTTCAACTTCCACTTGTGACACCTTGTTGCTGTGTCACATCTCTGGAACATCCTGTCTCTGTCCACCTTGTCGATTCCTCTCAATATTTATATGTCGAGTCACAGCTCCTGGACCCGAGTGTGTGCGTGTGTGGTGTGTGTTTACTGAAAATACTATAATGTTTAAAATCCCTCACTTAAATCTGTCTGATAATAAAAAAAAACATTACATCCACAGATGGAGGTACGTAAGCCAAAGCCACATATTAAGAAGATCGTTGAAACCCGGTACACCACACTGAGATACCCTGTGTTTATTACCCAGGTGATCAAGCCATTACTAACCCAAGTGGAGACCAAGGTACAGCCGGTGTTCCTCACCAAGACCATTGATCGCTACACCACCGTTAAATTTACCGTCACTGGCATCGGCCAGGTCACCATCACCACCGTCAGATTTGAGAAGGAGTACATTACTCGCTGCATGAAAAAGGGCTATGGACATCATCGCGAGAATTCTGATGGCCCCGAAGTCCGTGAAAGTGGAGATGCTGAAGTCACCTCTGTCCCCACCCACGCCACTCAGATACCAACGCCGCCAGCTGGCGTTCCCTGGGGTTCACCCGTAGAACCTCCTGGCAAGGAAATCACGCCTTCGGCAGCATATAATGCGCAAGAAACAAGACTTCATCGTCCGAACTCTCCTCTGGACACTAATGGCAGGTTTGGTCCGCCATACCGGAAAGTGAGAACACAGAGACCATTATCACCGCGACCTGTGGGTCCACCTGGGACATTTGGGAGGTTCGGTGCTGTGGTTCAATATGATAGAACCCTCGCAGGATCTAAACGCGATTTTTCGGAAGAAGCGGTCCTGTCTCACCCGCCGCTACGCCGACCTCCAGTGGCCGTCATTGGCTGACTGAACCACTGTACTCATCAAGTTGTACTCACCTAGTTGTACTCACCTAATTGTACTCACCTAGTTGTACTCACCTAGTTGTACTCACCTAGTTGTACTCACCTAGTTGTACTCACTAAGTTGTACTCACTTGTAGTCACCTAGCTGTGTTTGCGGGGTGAAGATAGCTCCTGGCCCCGCCTCCTAGACTATTTTCATTGGCATCCCCTTTTAGGTCTTACCATATCTATTCTTGAAGCTGTGTATTGAGTTTGCCTCCAGCACTGCCTCATCCAAGTCATTCCAGTTTTCGACCATCCTGAGACTAAAGAAATACTTCCTAACATCACTATGACTGATCTGTGTGTTCAGTTTCCACCTGTGTCACCTAGTTCCTGGTCCTCTTAATTAAAGAGACCGAACTGCCCTATAAATTTCTCTAAATATTTTGTATGTCGTAATCATGTCTCCTCATGTCCTTCTCTCCTCTGAGGTGGTCAGGGTCAGTTCCTTCAACTTCTCCTAGTAGTACATCCCTCTCAGTTCCGGTACTAGTCTGGTTGCTAACCTTTGGATCTAGTTTCTTCAGGTGCTTGACCAGGTGTGGGCTCCATGCTGGGGCTGTGTACTCAGTGACTGGCTTAACGGATGTCGTGTATAAGGATTCTTTATTCGAGTTCCTGAACGTTATCCTGAAGTTTGGCAATATAAACACAAATGCAGTATAATGTGATCCTTTATTGACTACGTTTCGCCCACACAGTAGGCTTTTTCAAGTCACAAACAGAACTACCTGGGGTGGAAGGAACGCGAGTATTTATAGTCCGGCTGAGGTCAGGTGAAGAATGCTGCATCTGATGATGTACCGAGTTGGGTTGTAGAGTCTAAAAACTTGGGTAGCTTGGAAAGGTGACTGGACAAGTTTGTGAGCAGACCTTCTACAGTGTTCTTATGTGGGATAGCGATGAAGAAGTTTCTTGGCAAGTGGTTCAGCTATGTTATAGAAGCCACTATTCTGGTTGAAGTTGTCGGATATAGAACATCATCAGATGCAGCATTCTTCACCTGACCTCAGCCGGTCTATAAATACTCGCGTTCCTTCCACCCCAGGTAGTTCTGTTTGTGACTTGAAAAAGCCCACTGTGTGGGCGAAACGTAGTCAATAAAGGATCACATTATACTGCATTTGTGTTTATATTGCCATTGTGTCGGTATTTTATACCATTTATTTCCATCCTGAAGTTTGTTAATCTTACACAAGCGGTTGCTATTATACGTGTTAAATGTATTTCTGGCGATATTCTTGGTGCTATATTTGACCCAGGTTTATTTTTGCTACCACAATTTCAGTTTCTCTTCATCCATGCTGTACTCTGTGTCCGGTCTTCCCTTATCTTCCCCATTTTTGCATGTCCTTGCATTTGCTTGGGTTCAAATTGCGAAGCCATTTGTTAGATTACATCACTAGTCTCTTGATGTCTGCCTGATGTATATCACTGTCCTCTCCTGGTTTTATTCTCCTTATTGTTACATCATCTGCAAACAGTAACACTCAATCCCCTCTGATAGTTCACGTATATTAGGAACTGTAGTGGTCATAGTACTGATCCTTGTGGAACACCATCCGTGGTCCCAGTACTGATCCTTGTGGAACACCATCCGTGGTCCCAGTACTGATCCTTGTGGAACACCATCCGTGGTCCCAGTACTGATCCTTGTGGAACCTCTCTCCGGTTGTCCAGTATGTATCCTGTGGAACACACCATACCTCTATAGTACTGATATTGTGAACCTTCGTGGTCATAGTACTGATCCTTGTGGAACCTCATCCGTAGTCCCAGTACTGATCCTTGTGGAACCTCATCCGTAGTCCCAGTACTGATCCTTGTGGAACACCATCCGTGGTCCCAGTACTGATCCTTGTGGAACATCATCCATGGACCCAGTACTGATCCTTGTGGAACACCATCCATGGACCCAGTACTGATCCTTGTGGAACCTCATCCGTAGTCCCAGTACTGATCCTTGTAGAACCCCATCCGTAGTCCCAATACTGATCCTTGTGGAACCTCATCCGTAGTCCCAGTACTGATCCTTGTGTAACCCCATCGTAGTCCCAATACCGATCCTTGTAGAACCTCATCCGTAGTCCCAGTACTGATCCTTGTGGAACACCATCTGTAGTCCCAGTACTGATCCTTGTGGAACCCCATCTGTAGTCCCAATACCGATCCTTGTAGAACCTCATCCGTAGTCCCAGTACTGATCCTTGTGGAACCCCATCTGTAGTCCCAGTACTGATCCTTGTGGAACACCGTTCGTTACTCATCCATTCTGATGTCTCAACCCTTACTATCACTCACTACCTTCTGTTATTCAGGTACTCTCCGTTCCACTGTGAATTAACACTGCCTTAAACCCTCTTATCCTTCTGTTTTGCAAACTAAAATCCACGCAGTACTGTACTCAACTAAGAGGTTTAGATACTACCCCGATATATTAGATCCTCTAATAATTCTAGGCATCAGTATTTGAATTAGAAAACATTTCTAGGCCAGTTAGCTTCTTTCTGGCCACATGAAGTTGATTTCCAGCTTCTGAACAGATTCCTACGAATGGTTTCTCCAGTCCTAATAATGAGGTAACTAAAGAGTACATAAAGTGGCATGAATGTAGGTAAATATGTAAAAACTTAGTACCTAAGCCTTGTCTGAAAATATTCATTCCAGTTAGCCTTGACAGGTGTTCAGTCCCTAGCCCTAACAGGAATTAGGTGGTAAGTTGCGAGAGGATGGTAGTAGTAGTAGTAGTAGTAGTAGTAGTAGTAGTAGTAGTAGTAGTAGTAGTAGTAGTAGTAGTAGTAGTCGTAGTACGACTGTGGTAAGATACGTTGGGCTTGACAACGACCTGTCAACTCCAATTTAAAACTGGTTCCCAGAATGGGGAATATCCTATTGATCACCTATTTGCATATAGTGTAACTTTTAAATTTTTGATGGCCAGTGTTATGTTTTCAGAAAAATTTGCCTCGTATAGGCCAATAGGCCTATTGCACTGTTCCTCCATTATTATGTTCCTATTTTCTTATGTTCTAAAGTACAGGAATAACTCGTTGCTACATAATTACGTAGATAAATCCTACATAAGAGAGTTGATGGATCAACTCGGCCAGGATGAAGACGACTGTCAGCTTTGGTTGATGATAGATACTCGGTGTAGATTTTACCTCTGGTTTTGATATGTTGCTCTGTTTAGAGCTCTGTAGCTCTAGGATCATTGATGTAGCGATATCTAAACATGATGTAGAGTGCTGGCGTTCTATTTCCGAGCTCTAGACGCCATTGATGTAGTGTGTTGGTGCTCTGTTTGTGAGTTCTGAACGCTGTCATAGCATGCTGGTGTTCTGTGATCTGAACACTGCCATAGCATGCTGGTGTTCTGTGCTCTGAACACTGCCATAGCATGCTGGTGTTCTGAACACTGTCATAGCATGCTGGTGTTCTGAACACTGTCATAGCATGCTGGTGTTCTGAACACTGTCATAGCATGCTGGTGTTCTGAACACTGTCATAGCATGCTGGTGTTCTGAACACTGTCATAGCATGCTGGTGTTCTGAACGCTGTCATAGCATGCTGGTGTTCTGAACGCTGTCATAGCATGCTGGTGTTCTGAACAATGTCATAGCATGCTGGTGTTCTGAACACTGTCATAGCATGCTGGTGTTCTGAACACTACCATAGCATGCTGATGTTCTGAACAATGTCATAGCATGCTGGTGTTCTGAACACTACCATAGCATGCTGGTGTTCTGAACACCGTTATAGCATGCTGGTGTTCTGAACACTGTCATAGCATGCTGGTGTTCTGAACGCCGTCATAGCATGCTAGAGTTCTGAACACTGTCATAGTATGCTGGTGTTCTGAACACCGTCATAGCATGCTGGTGTTCTGAACACTACCATAGCATGCTGGTGTTCTGAACACTGTCATAACATGCTGGTGTTCTGAACACCGTCATAGCATGCTGGTGTTCTGAACACTACCATAGCATGCTGGTGTTCTGAACACTACCATAGCATGCTGGTGTTCTGAACACTACCATAGCATGCTGGTGTTCTGAACACTGTCACAGCATGCTGGTGTTCTGAACACTGTCATAGCATGCTGGTGTTCTGAACACTGTCATAGCATGCTGGTGTTCTGAACGCAGTCATAGCATGCTGGTGTTCTGAACACTACCATAGCATGTTGGTGTTCTGAACACTGTCATAGCATGTTGGTGTTCTGAACACTGTCATAGCATGCTAGTGTTCTGAACACTGTCATAGCATGTTGGTGTTCTGAACACTGTCATAGCATGCTGGTGTTCTGAACACTGTCATAGCATGCTGGTGTTCTGAACACTGTCATAGCATGTTGGTGTTCTGAACACTACCATAGCATGCTAGTGTTCTGAACACTACCATAGCGTGCTAGTGTTCTGAACACTGTCATAGCATGTTGGTGTTCTGAACACTACCATAGCATGCTGGTGTTCTGAACACTACCATAGCATGCTAGTGTTCTGAACACTACCATAGCATGTTGGTGTTCTGAACACTACCATAGCATGCTAGTGTTCTGAACACTGCCATAGCATGCTAGTGTTCTGAACACTGTCATAGCATGCTGGTGTTCTGAACACTGTCATAGCATGCTAGTGTTCTGAACACTGTCATAGCATGCTAGTGTTCTGAACACTACCATAGCATGCTGGTGTTCTGAACACTACCATAGCATGCTGTGTTCTGAACACTACCACAGCATGCTGGTGTTCTGAACACTGTCATAGCATGCTAGTGTTCTAAACACTACCATAGCATGCTAGTGTTCTGAACACTACCATAGCATGCTGGTGTTCTGAACACTGTCATAGCATGCTGGTGTTCTGAACACTGTCATAGCATGCTGGTGTTCTGAACACTGTCATAGCATGCTGGTGTTCTGAACACTGTCATAGCATGCTAGTGTTCTGAACACTGTCATAGCATGCTGGTGTTCTGAACACTGTCATAGCATGCTGGTGTTCTGAACACTGTCATAGCATGTTGGTGTTCTGAACACTGTCATAGCATGTTGGTGTTCTGAACACTGTCATAGCATGCTGGTGTTCTGAACACTGCCACAGCATGCTGGTGTTCTGAACACTGTCATAGCATGCTGGTGCTCAGTAAGCTCTGAACACTGCCACAGAGCACCGTCGTGCTCTACGCTCTGTTACTCAGCACTGTGATATTAATTATATCTAAATATTTTATATACAATAAAGTTATCAGAAAATATGTTTTTATTATCTTCCTTTAATACGTTATTATTATTATTATTATTATTATTATTATTATTATTATTATTATTAATATATTGTGGGTGTTAGTGGACTGGTGTGGGTCACATCCTGGGTGTTAGTGGACTGGTGTGGGTCACATCCTGGGTGTTAGTGGACTGGTGTGGGTCACATCCTGGGTGTTAGTGGACTGGTGTGGGTCACATCCTGGGTGTTAGTGGACTGGTGTGGGTCACATCCTGGGTGTTAGTGGACTGGTGTGGTCACATCCTGGGTGTTAGTGGACTGGTGTGGGTCACATCCTGGGTGTTAGTGGACTGGTGTGGGTCACATCCTGGGTGTTAGTGGACTGGTGTGGGTCGCCTCCTGGGTGTTAG